TAAAAAAAAATAAATGAATTAAAAAAGAGCAACAGACCAAAAAAAGACAGAAAGTATGTGTGTACAGAGACAAATTAATTCATAACATTTACATAAATGCCATATTAGGTGAGAAGCAGCAATGAAATGGCACAACTTCAGTCTCTGGTGCTCTTAATTCTGTAATTTTGTTTTCGTCCACTTGGGAAAACTGACATCATTGACTGATGGAAACAGTCAATGATTTGCATTTTCTTTGGCTGACTTTTAGGAAATTAGCTTCAAAATTGTGTATATTTGTTTGGAATCATACACTCTCTCAATCCCACACTCCGTCACAATTTACACACAACCACCATCTGACACAGCCTCTCTCTCTCTCTCTCATACACACAGACTCAGAGACAATCTCAGACAGACACACACTCAGACACACTCCGCTGGAATTACAATGAGCATTACAATCATTATCTAGTTACGGCCTCCAGTAGCACCATCATTGGCATTCAGGGACGTTGTTGGCACCTCAGCGGGGTGACGGGCACGCGGACACGCGCACAAACAATGAACATGCACACACTCACGCCAGTTTTAAATGACAGCGGGAGTGTTGAGTGAGATCTCTGGGTAATACTTTTCCTCATCAGCGCTGGCCTTACCTCGCCGTTGAGATACAGCAGGTCAAAGGCGTACACACACACTTGGACTTTGATCTCTGAGGCATCCACGTCCTGTAGGGAGGCATCAACACACACACACAAATACATTTTAATATTTTTTCCCTCGACAAAAATATGCAAATAGACGCATCTTATTCACAAATCGCTACATCCAACCTTGGGACTTGTTACAAAGAGCTCTTTGATTTCTCTCCCGTTCGTCTTGAAAGTTAACCGCCCTCCCCTGTTTCCCCTCTAACTTTAAAGAGCATCGCACCTCCTCGTCGTCTTCCTCCCTCTCGTCCTGCACCTTGACTCACTTCTCTCACCTCTTCTGTTTCTCCAGCGACTTCTACTCTCACCTGTCTTGCACCTCATCCTGTTATTCTACTCTTGTTTACTCCTGTCAGTCTCGACTCCGCCTTATTATGGCATTTCCACCATGGCCCTGCTATAAAATTCCAGGACTTCTCCATAACCGTGTCGAAGTAATATTGAATTCCAAGACTGTGTTGCACCAGCTATTCGTTAATCCATTACTATGTTTGTGTGTCCCTTCTTTTAGTTCCTAGATAGTTTCCTACTAGTGATTTACATTATCAGAACCACTCAAACTTGTTAATTTGAGGCTTTTGTTAACCCTAGTACCTCTACAGAGCATTGTTGTTTGAGTGGGTAATGTTATTCACCAATGGTTGTATGCTACATGTGGTAACACAACAAGAAACACAGCATTACACCAACAAGGGCAGGGAAGAAAAAGACTGCTTGCAACTATACATGGAAAATTGAAAATGTACTCAATACATTTCTTAAGTTTAACGGATGCACACAGTGCTGGGACTCTCTAAAAACTTGGTTTCCAGGATCTAGCAGTGCTCGCTTCAGCAAGCTCGGTGACCTTCTTAGCCCGTGTTAAGTGCACGTTCATGAGTTGTCCACGAGTGTGTGTGTGTTACAATATTTTAGTATAAATAATGTTGGAAGTACTACTACCACCTCTGGCAATAGAAGTGAGAAAGGTTCATGCTTTATATAACCTGCATGCACCTCTGTAAGAAGGCAGAAAAGAAAATCCTAAATTATTTCAGTTTGATGAAAATGTGAAGCTGGATTGAGTGTCAAAGTATGGGCTGGTTTTATTCATACATACCTAGACCGAATAACACACATCCAATATGAGATCAGATTATTTGATGCATGTCAAGTATGAAGGCACACAGAATAAACTATTCATGTTTTCCTATTTTGTATATTTGGTCTCACATCTATAAACATGGAAATTGGCTTTCTTGTAAGCCCATTTCTATTGATGTAAGATACTATTTTAATATCAGAATATAAACCCCCAAACGCCATCTGAGTAGATGTTTGTTGTCAGACATAATTTACCAATCCTTTGTAAATGCAAGAGTAATCTTTTTATTTATTTATTTATTTTATTTATATATGCACACGTGGAGAAATGGAGCAGGGTGGGACATAACAGATTATGCTAACCTAATGTTACCTGCAGTTATTCGGTCACAGATTGTGTCATTTGAGGTGCGGCGTGCTATTTTTGTGAAATGTGATCTAAAATATTTCATCAAGCATCAATTAAGAGGTCTCTCTTTCGCTCTCCACTCTCAACATGTATTAGCAAGCCCACCTTAGCTATGACAGTTGGTTCCGTTACCTAGGTAACAGTTACTGGATGTAAATATTTAACTGCTAATCCCTGTGCAAGAAATCGTTTTTGTGAAGCAACCAGTTGGAATTAAGTAAATCTCTACTTAGTAAACATGTTATAACTAGGCTGCGTTTGAACATACAAACAGCTGCTGCAACTGGCTCTCTCTGTTCTTTAAGAAAACATCCAAAATGAAAGCTCCTCTGACCAGTGGTAAAGGGATGTGATCAGGAATACAAATAAAATGCCTTTGCCTTTTCAAAACCTAAAGGATTTGTCTCCTGATTTATCCCCTTTTCTCCTTCATTCTCCTTTTCACTCCCTCATTACTTTCCCCTCCGCCTATTAAGGATGTTTAATTAGTCCGTATCGGGTTTCATCTCCTCATCTGAAATATTTCATTTCGGCAAGAACGCTCATTGGTAGTAAAGCAGTGGAGATGTTGTTACAAAAATGCCAGAAGCACAGTACAATCAGTTTGTGCATCAAACCATCATTACAAATAATCATGATTTCATAGTGGCGGTAACAGCATCTAGCAAAAAATCATCAGGATAATCATTTTCAGCCATTTTCATCATCATGTTCTCATTTCTCCTCTCCTAATTTACAAAGAGGTCATCATGCATAAAAAAAAGACAAGGTTTCCCTCTAATGTGATTGGTGTAGTGGAAAGAGGCCGTTATTCTGATCAAAACTGAAAAACACCGCGCTGACATTTGCAATCTCACAACCCCTCCTCTCTCCTCAATCCATTTGACTCTTCTGTCTCGTACTTATCAATCTCCCCCTCTTTCTGTCTGCTCTTTCACCGTCCATCTCCCTCCGTCTGCCGGATCATTTCACTCCATTATCTTCCTCTCCTCTACCTTTTGGTCTTTGTCTCCGTCTTGTTTTCTCTTTTCAACCTTTTCACTTCTTCCTCTCTCATCATCTCCTACTTTCTACCCTTTTTAACACCCACAGCATTTCATTCATTCTTCTCCCACTTTAATATAGTCCTGTCTATCCATACCTTTCTCTTACGGGTGGTGAGGACCTGGAAGGGCTGGATCTGTTTCTTCTCACGATCCCAGGCCACCGCCTCCGAGTCCAGGACGCAGGATACCACAGAGTCCTTCTTCACCTTTTGAAAGGAATAATGAAGACACAGCAAAAGGGAATAAATGAATAAAGAGATAAGAGATTATACTGTAATCAGTACAGAGATGAGGCTTGAGATGATGTTATTTGCCAATCTGCATATAAGCCACATCTGCTGTTGCAATCAGGGGATTGTCTGGGAGTTTTATTGAAGTAAACATAACAAACTTGATAGATTTTAAAAGGCATGGATACAAGCAATCAAATTGAAGGCATGTTGGGTTTTTTCCAGGACCTACTGCTGCCCTCAATTTGTTACCAAATGCTTTGCAAGTCAACACATTAACATTTTTTTCCCACACTACATTAATCGCTACTCTTGAGCAGGCATGTCTATTGCTACCATCTCTTCTACTCAACCAGTTACCAAATCGTTAAACACACCCACTCTTTTGGTCGGATGCCCACGTTGTGCAGAAAGCTTTACCAAAAACATTTTGCAGTTTGCTTTTTACACTTTACTTCTGCATTAACTAAAAGGCTTTGGCGACAGACCCCAGACTCCCCATGCAGGAAAAAACTAACAGGGTCTAGGCTGGGTATAAACCATCTATGGGCAGATTGTATTGACTATCACTACTGATTTTCTAGATCAGACAGAGTGGCTGCTAATTATCTGAAGCACCAAATCCTGTGTGTGAAGCTTAGGGATGTTAATCTCCTGCGTCCTGGTCGATTTGGGGCCACCAGGATGCTTTATATTTACAACTTGAACCAGATTGAGAGCAGATCAGCGAGTGATATCTGAAAGCTGATCAGAGAGAGCCACAGTTAAGAGCAAGAGCCACATTAGAGTTAACAGGTTGTTTGGAAACTCAATCAAATATATCACATATAACCAGTTAAACTCACAAGGTCATTAGGCTAAGTAATACATTAAGTACCAATTAATGTATTTGTATTAATATTAATGCGTTAATGCATTAATATTAATTCACAATTAGAAGCATTAAGGCAGTATGGTAGCTTCGGGAGAATTAGTTTCCCCTCATTAATATGCAAAATAATGCAGCAAGGTGCTGTAAAATCTAATCAGACCATCTTATCTATGCACTGTTAGTGTGAAGTTTCACTCAGGCATTGTTCATTACTGTGTTCATGAAAATGTGTCGACACACACAGCCATGACAATGTAATGTCGAGACTAAGAATGCAAATTTTAATTTAAGCAATCTCTTTCATCAGTTGTCTGCCATGTTAATGATCAGCAATCGATTTCCTTGATGAAAGCTTCATTCAAACAACTGACGTGGGCTATTTTTACAGCACAATTGTGGTAAATTAGATGTAATAAATTAAGAGTCACACATTAAATAAACAAGAAAATTGTTCCAAGCTGAAATTAAAAAAAAAAATGAAAAAATGGCATCATTTAAAAAAGGGTGAGTCTTCCTCGCTGCATGCAAATGAAACACCAACACCCAAACTTTTCATTCTGTTTGAATGTTTTTTCACAGAAAAACCTTAGAGTTTAAAGAGAGGGTAACAGTGAGAAAGAAAGGCAAGAGACAGCAAAGGAGAGAGATAAAAAAAAGAAAGACAAATTTTACAAGTTAAGGAGTGTAGAGAGAATGCAGAGATGGGAGAGGAGCAAGAGAGAAAAGACAGAAAAAAGAAAAGGGTTTAATAGGGAGGGGGAGATGTGTGGAAAAAGAGTGCAAAAGAAAAACAGTGAGAAGGTGAGAAGAGAATAAAGAGGAAGCAAAAACAAAAAAAAAAGGTGAGAGAAGACAGCAGTCAGGAGCATCGACATGCAATGGAGAAAAAGAGCGAGAGAGAATATGTAAGTGGCGTAGACGGTGAGAGGGGAAGGGTATAAGAAGCAGAGAGGGAGACCAAAAAGGTAAAATTGCAGACAGGCTGAATCAAAGTGCTGAAAAAAGATGAGAGGAAGAGAGAGACAAGAATGAATAAGACAAGAGTGAGAAGAGAGGAGAAAGAGAGGTGAAAGGAGAGCAGCGAGAAGTGAGGGACCGAACAGGTACCATCAAGAAATAATGAAGAAGAAAGGAGAGAGCAGTGATAAGACGGAGAGACATGAGAAAGCGACAGGTGGACAGACGGAGTAATAAGGTGAGAGTGAGAGACAAAGAGCCATGTAGCTTTTAAAGTTCTTGGGAGGACAAAAGGAGCAGAAAACGGAGAAATTAAAATCAGTGCAGGAGAAACGTCAGAGGGCAGATGTTATGTGCAATGATGTGATACACGGTGTGAGAGAGGAACGATGTGATGGTTCACACAAACTGCAGTATGAGCATCGCTACAATCGCACTATGACGGTTTCCTCTTTCACCATTCCTCCCCTGCAACATTTCCAAGAACAACCTTTCTACAAACTATGGTACGACCCAGCTAGCTCGATGGCAAATACACAGTATTTCCTGTGGCTACTTCACAATAAAGGCCTCCCGCTGGTTTGCGGGTGGAACGGTATGGAGTATTTTTTTTATGTTTCTATTAGAAAAAAGATAGAGTTGACAAGAAATGAGATGAGGGTCTGTAGGACATAAATTTAATAGACAGACAGTGTGCGCGTACGCTCCGTGCAGACATCTTCATACCGCCAATTTGTAGTGTGGACAGTGACTACACTATGGGGGACCCAGCCAGGAAGACAACCTCTTAGCGGACCACGGGAAAAAGTATAAACAGAGCTACTTCGTGCCTGCAGCTGCCTGTCATACATCTGTTTGGGAGTATACTCAGTGTCCACTAAGGATAGGTCTGACCTGAGAAACTGCACGCATACTGGAAAAATCGAAACACCATCTTATTTTTGTTTTGTCAAACGATCACTTGGGTGAATTTTTTTTTAACTGATGGGAGACATAAGGTGATTCTTGCACCTTTTTTGAAGCAGATACCGAGTAAAATTCAGTGGAAGAGAAGTGCACCTATTTCTTCTTATAAACTCACATTATGAAGTATGCCTAAATAAATTCTAGCAAAGGACTAGTTAGTCAAAAGCTCTGAATATTCTGAGAATTTAACAGATTCATTAACTTGCCCTGATAGACTAGATAGGAATTTCTTTTAATGTTACTGACATTTCAATAACAGTTGGGTACTCAGAAAAAGTCTTGAAAACAACAACAGTGAAATGAGAAAGGAGAGAGTGGAGACATCATTGCAGTTCCTTCCTAAAGCAGAAAAACACACACAGCAGGTGTTGAGGTAGTGAGCGGGCTCAGATAACCCCAGGCCAACTGCCAAAGCTTCAGGTAGTGGTGATCTCTTTCTTTCTCCCCATGCAAGCAGAACCACGCTAATTTGGCAAGCCTACCCACAGCTGCAATCTTAATTTTAACAACCAGTGTTTTTAACAACCGTCAGAGAGATAAAGTTTCACGACAAGGTGGTTTAAAATATCCATCCTTAGCAGACACCTCTCTAAATTAAAAAAAAGAGAGCGATTTAATGGTCAGTGGTAGCGCTTGGTGACTGAACGGGAACAAAAAGGACAAAGAAGGGTAGAGACAAGCAAAAGAACAAATAAACTTTTAAGGTTTCAGGTTTCAAACTGAGACAGACCGAGGCAGAGAGGAGGAGTGGGCACAAGGATGAGTGACAGGATGAGAAAAAGAGGCAAAATGAAAGACAGATGGAGCGAGATAAATGTGTGGAGTTGTTATCCGCACGCCTGTAAAAGCCCTCATTTGACAATCATAGCTCAGGCTGACTCTCCTCTCTCTCTCTCCCTGGGGCTGAGCCGCAGCACTCTGTGTGTTCAAGTGTTTTACCTTGGGAATGCGAGAGATGATATCAGGGTATTTGGTCGTGTTGTCTTCCTGGTTGCGGCTGAATATTCGAACCTCGCCACTCTCCAGAATGTGAATCTGTGGGGGGAATAAAAACAAACACAATACACTGAATAACACAGAACAAAGAAACAGAGCTCAGATTTGATGATCAAGTCTGATAGATGGATGTGTGCCGCAATGTGTTGGCGAGTTTACTATGTGTAATGGGCTCTAACCGCTTTAACACACAACATAAACTCACCAAATGTCAAGAAAGGAAAGGCACAACGCCAGTTTTCTGCGTTAAACAGAAAAATACATCCGTACACCTTCAAAATTCAAGTTTCTCTCTTATACTGAACTAAGACCTTGTTAAGCAATGTTAAAACACTCCATTCAAACAAAATAAAACTCGCCAAACCGTCTTTATTCATCTTTACACTGTTCCGATAATCACCAACTCTGGTATCGAACCATCTGACAGAATTAGATGTGAAAATATTCTGTTTCTACTTCGCTTCCACTCCTAAGCCCCTGACCTCCCTCGCTGCTTTACCCCGCTTCATGCCTCTCCTCTCCTGGCCTAGGTTGTTCCTGCTGTGTGCCCATCTTTCTCTGGAGTTACAGTCTTCGTTGGAGCCTCTAAGAATCACCTTGTTACTGTATTCCCTGTTGTCAAACTAGTCGAAATAAACTATTCATTCACTGCTGTTAGATGTGAAAATATTCTGGCTCTACAGCTGTTTTTCCTCTTGCTCGTTCTCCGGCTCAGTGTGCGTACTGCACCGCTGAACGTCTGTCACAGAGCGGCTCCCAGTCTTCAGATGCAGACCATTAAATTAACAAAATAAAATGACAGAAAAACAACAACAGGCGATGGATACATTCGTCCAATCGCCCAACCCTACCATGTAACACTGGTTGTCAGCATCTTGTTGTCAGTCTCGCCCTGTTATCTTCTGCTATCCCTTTCCTTGCATGGTGTGTCTTTCTTTAATTATTTGTCCTTTCTTAATGTGGACTGTAGTCAACTACCATCTGATTTGCAGTCGTCTTATTCATTCATTGCCATCTTGTACCGTCTTGTGCACAACATTTGTTGACACGTTCCATTCAGGCTTTAACACTTTGGCAGGGACGACAAATAACTTTTGCTGATTTACATTTTTCTTTTTCTTTCTACTGATCAATGAGCTCTGTAAAATACAAAGAAACGCCCACGCTCACTAACTTGACTGATTATACGGGACACACACGTCCATGAATATATACACAGTTTTGATTCATCAAATGCCACACTCGCAGAGACACACTTTCTTATGGCTATTCATAAACCCTGAACACAAAGACACACACACACACACACACACAGAGGGAGGGAGTGTTTAACTCAGTGGCGTATCATGGGTCCCCCTTCTGGCCGTTCGAGGTAATGTTCACTGCAGTGAGACCACAGTGAGAGAGAGAGCGAGGGAAGAGGAGGACGTCATGTGGCTCGCTCGCTCTGTCTCCATCCTCTCTCTCTCTCTCTGTTTCTGTTTCTCTCTCTGCTCATCTCTCTTCTTCTCAGTTCAAAGGCACTTTATTGGCATGACTGTCCAAAATTAACAATACAGCTGGAGGGGTTTACATTACAATCTCTCTCTTGCTGGTCTCTTCATGTCTCTCTCTCTCTCTCGAAATTTCCTCATCCCCACTGCTTTCTCCCCTTGTGTCTTCGTTTTTAGTCCCCCTCTCCCCCTTTTATCAGTCTCGCCTTCACTGTCTCCAGCCTCTTTCCTCACCTCTCTCCATCTCCCACCACCCCTCCTCCTCCTCCTCCTCTCCTTTAGTCCACAACGGGAGTAGCTTGCTCTGCCTACAGGCCCAGGGCAAAAGCAGCACTACTGTTTATCTTAAAAGAATAGGCACACATACACACACGCACTGTACCGAAACACCATGCATATGAGCACACAGTGAAGTTAACACATAGCGAGACCCAGAACAGCAATACCTCACATTCAAAGAACACAGCCGAAAGGTATATGCATACTAAATTCAGAAGGCATATGTTCGCTGCCAAACGCAAGACAAACAAACAGTTGCACTCTGTCACTTTGCCATCATCATGCACACAAACACACCTGTGCTCGCTCTCCGTCGTATTTGTACTCGCAAGTGAACGCCGCCTCGTCAAACTTCTTCATCACCTCGCCGACGCCCTTGGTGGGGTGAGCCAACATGGGTCTGAGCGGTACGCCTGGGAGAGGAAAGGTGGCCGAAGAGTTTGGGGTAAGTAAACAGCAGGACACCAAAGCGACCAAAACAAAAATATATATATATATAGTCATGAATTTTTCATGAATCATAAATAGCTGAGAATCTAATTGTGAGTTAGTCCAGAAGAAGTTTGCCACTTTCATGTGTGTGGATAGCAGGAGGGGTGGGGCTGTCGCTAACAGGCCTGCAGGTTATGGTAACAAGGCAGATCTGTGAAATCAGCTTCACTGACACATTTCCACATGACACATCGGCATCACACCCACAACTGTTTCTGCGACAAAACCACAGTTGAAATTAGTTTGTTTGTATTCTCATTTGGCTGTAATATGAAAGTTCTCAGACTCAGTCCCCCCCCCCTTGGGCTGTGCTGCTAAGTTGATCTTAAAAAGAAGCAGAGGAGTGATATAATGAAAATACATGAAGAAAACAATTCCTTTAATAGCAGCTTAAAGACCCAGATATGACAGGGACATTAACGGTTTGACCAAACTGGCCGGTGCTAGCCAGAAATTCACCAGCTCCTTCAACTCCCCTGCACTGAAGGACAAAACAGCCCTCTGAATAACGATTGTTTACCTGCCAAAATAGCTGCTAGGATTTGTCTAACTGACCAACAAGAGCCAATTTAGTTTCCCAATTTAGTGGCGTTCAGATGGTGGCTGGTATTCATTTCCTACCTTGGTGCCAAGGCTCCTTATCACAAATAGCTTGACAACAGTGTAATTGGGAGCTAATCCTTAGTTTAGTAGTATCTTTTATCTTTCTGTGATAAATGACTCAACTAAAATAACTGACTCCCCTCCGCTGAACAGATCAATAAACAGACACCAGTCACTATTTTTGATCTCATAGCCTGTCTGCATTCTGATTGGCTGCTTACCTGGAGTGAGCTTGCAGTGATTGGGAAGCTGGTCTATGCCCTCTTTTAGCAGAACCGGGATAATAACGTCATAATTGGGCATCTCGCTGGACGGTGGAGCGTGGGGAGTAAGTGGGAGATGAGGCAGGGTGTTTGGGAAGAAAAACAAAAAAGAACAAAAATCAATATCATCCAAAATTAAAGTGAGTAGAATGAGTGAGGCGGAATGAGGGACGGGGCTTAAGGGGGATGAGGCATTGTAGTGGTGCCGAGGATAGACTGCAAAGTGAAAGGAGGAGGTTTGTTTAGGCTTCAGTTACCAGTAAGTCTGTTTGAGAATGAGACTCTTCTCTTCGATCCAGGCCCGCCTGCTCTCAGCGCTCATCCCCTTCCCTGCGTCGATCACAGCGGGAGGGAAAACTATAAGGTAGGAGGTAAAAAAAAAAAAAGCATTTCAAACAGGTCTGTGTAAGAGTGTTTGAACATTTGTATGACTGAACAGTTGTTGGATGAAAGTTCAGAGGGACTTCAAAGGCTAGGAAACATACAAGACCTACAGCAGCGCAATTACTTGTTTACACCTGCACATGTGTTTTCTACACTACTGGATGAACTCACCCTAAAAATGAAGTTTGAGTCCCACTGTGGTTAAAATGGTTGAAACAATATAAGCTTGAAGGCCAAATAAATTATTTTAGTTTCCAGTTCGACATTTATAATATATTTATATTTAAAATATGACTGAATACATTCATTGTAATGATCTACTTCAGCCCTACAATAAATCTGCTCTAAGTTGACCTGCCTGATTAAATAATGGTTAAATAAATAAATAAAAATGTTAAGAAAAACATTTCCAGACCAGACCACAGATCAATGCAAATTTCCCTACCGAGCCTCTGGTCTAATTGACTCTTATTAAAGCATACCTCCAGTCGTGAGTAAGCCACGAATACTAATAAGCCAGGAATTAATTTATTTAATTTGGTGTAGGTGGTGTTGGTGAGAGCAGGACAGATCAGTGCTGAGAGCAGGTGGTGTGAGAGAGGCTGTCAAAACTTCCTTGAGAAAGTCATGAATTCAGTAACATGCTGGTGAGAAGATGTGTCGGCTTAATTCATCCAATTACATACTCCAAGATGGTGTTTTTCCTTCTTTAATTCAACATGCTTGGGAGGGACATATTTATATATTCATATATTGGCTTGGTTTACACATTTACTATTTTAAATTTATATAACTCTTCTAGTGAATGCAAATATTTTAACGCTGTTTTAACAAGCATTCTATTAATAAACGCTGTATTCACTTGCTCTGACACTACCTTCCTCTCCTGTAGTGTGACTTCTTTCTTGGGTTTGTATTTAAATTTAAAAAGCGATAATTCCATCGTAGTACAGAAGCATTTCATAAATACATTCAATAAAAAAAGTCGGCAAACTTAATCTGAAATAAGGAAACTGTGAAACGCAAACTTTTCAAGAGGTGGGGGGAAAAAACCCCACAGTCCTCACAACTCTGCAAAAATATATTCTCAAAGTTTATCTGAAACTAATACGGAGGTTTTAGCAGTCGGAGTTAGATAAATCAAGTGCAGATCTTCCACACTTAGTTTTTATTACATTTATGTTTTCCAGTGTTTCCTGGGTGAGTAAGCTCAGTGAACTTAAAGAGGAATTATGCACTAAATATAACTTTCAGGGGGTCTGACTGTTGAAGCCTTGTGTTAACCTCAGTTACACTGAAACTGCTTTAGGAATCATAGCCAGTATGAACAGGGGGAATGAGAACAGCAAGCAGACACTGGTTTCAACATACATATGGGGAACCTGACTATTTGTTTAAGAGAGACTTGAAAAACTGGGAACTTGTCCTTTAAAATTCAAGATCACCTTGTCCAGGAGGGGTCAGGCACACGGCCTGGCTTAGTGCTGATAGGACACTCTGCTCAGCCAGGCCTATCCTCAGCTTCCCAGCCAGGGACCTGTCCATAAACACCACGATATATACATACACACGGAGTTAAAAAGGCACTGCAATATCATTGTGTCCATATACATGCAGGTGTGTGTGTGTGTGTGTGTGTGTGTGTGTGTGTGGGCCAGTGGTCACACATGTAGCCGAGCCCGTCTCTGTATGTGTGTGTCTGTGTGAGAGAGGGTTATTTTACCTGACTATGTAGCGGGCCTCGGAAAAGCGGCATGCCACAAAGAGGCCTTTGATGATGTCGATTTTCTTATTCATGGCCTGAGGCAGGCGGGAGGAAATTGAGATTCACAGAAGAAGAGCGAGGAGAGACAGAATGCAAAAAGACTGAGGTCACCAGCGAGTACAAACTCCATGTTCAATCCAAAGTGTGGGAAAAAAAAAACACCCAGCAGCAACAGGGACGAAAAAGGAGCTAATTGCTTGTGAGATATCAGCCAGGTGACGACTCATTCAAAATCTGAAAAATTACCCTCTTCCCTCTGAAGTAGACAAATAAACTAATAATTTCTTGTTCGATACACAATTACGTTAACGTTTCCTTTCTTTTCCCTCCCTGACCCCAATGCTGAGAGGCAAATAGAGTGAAAACAATATTTGCCCAAGACTGCTTTCCCCTAATGAAAATGTTATTCTGTGGCTCACCGAGTTCCCACTCATGCTGGCAATTTCCTTCAATTTTCTGAACACGCCCCCTGCTGTCAGACTGGCCGGTTGGAACATCATGCGCTGGTTGCTACGGGAACTCTCGGCCACAAGGCCCAGATCTCCTTTCTCCTGCGCCTCTGCCTTGATTTTGTCCAATTGTCGCCCTGGAAACAAGAGCGAGACGGTAAATAGCAGGCGCCTCGGCGGCTGATGAGCAGGGAAGGGTGGCATTAGCAGTTAGGCTGGGAATGCACAAGCAAGTGTTGGGGTGCGAATGGTTGTTTGTGAGCGCGTGTGTCAATTACCAGTTGCTTGAGCAACAGCTTTCATCAGCACCGTCTCTCCGACGCCAAGCTCCATCCCCAGGTGGGCAGGACCCAGCTGGTTCAAACACAGGTACACACAGCACAGCAGGTCATCTGAAAAAACAACACACACAAACAATTTATTACAAAGAAAGCATAAGCATTCACACATATACACACACACAAACCAAGGACATGTGGTCACACAAAGCCAAACACATGCAAAGAAACACTCACACACAAACATAAACAAACAAAGTTATGAACACATACACTCGGAGACAACACCAGCCAAAAAAAAAAAAAACACACACAATCAAAAACACACACAGAGCAATGCATCAACACAAACACACACACATCGGAATTCCACAGGTACATGCTCAAACACACACACACCAACAGACACACACACATCAATGAACTGACTCATCCTCCCACTTTTATGTGCAACCTGGCTTCATCATCATCTCCTTGATAGAGTGGCTGGCAGCCAGCTGCCTGTGTAGCTACATCAGCATGCATTATGGGAGAGATAAAATACCATTTACCTGGAGAGAGCAGCAGCACGGAGCGAAACAGGTTCGACAGCGTCTCGATGTTTCTCAGCCTAGGAAATGACAACAGGATTGCTTTGAGACAAGGAAGACGAGTTAAACGAATTTTAAAGCCATCCTGTAAATACTGGGAGGCGAGAAATGAGATTTGTCTGGAGGTTTTAAATCGGAAATGGAAGCTAGGGAGGCAGAGGAACAGTTCATTTATGAAACGCTATACATCAATTGCAGTGGGTGGGAAAAATACAAGCCATCAACGGGAAGTTACTCATTCAATATCCTCAAAAAGGTAAAAACAATGTCTGTAAAGGTGTTTTCAATGTTCTGGCAAGACACTTAAGCAATCCTTTAAACTGTATGATCTGGATTCCTAAAGCGAAGAATCACATGCATTTCCTCTGCCAAAAACTGTAGTTCTTGTTGGTTTATAGTCATTTGTCAGCTCAAGAGTTATAAAATAAGTCATCAGCCAAGTTTCCAAAAATGTTGCGGAGGATTTAAATCTGAAACCCAAGTGTGAAAACAGTTGGTAAAATATATTCCTGAGCATTCCTGGAAAGTGACCTAATTGTAAAATTCCTTCATGTTCCCTGACTTTCCCATTATAATTAATCCAGTCCTCACTTTTCCTGACTGGAACACACTTCTTTAATTATATTCTAGAAATTCCCAGAAGGAAAACTGAGGGGTAATTTTGTAAAAATGCTTTGGTACGTGCTATATCCTTTAAACAGAGTACCGAACACTTTCTCCTAAATGGTGTTTACCTCATTCTGGAATAAAAAATAAATAAAAATCCTGTTTCCTCCATATGGAGCTCTTACCTGCCAGAGTCCTCTTCAATCTTCTCAAAGGTACGAGCCACCGCCAAGTACGGCACTCTGGAGAGTGATGAGCATGTAGTTAGCAAGCGAAGCATCCACACTGACAGATTTTTACATTCACAGTGTTTAGTTGACTCAGCTGTTCGGAGCAACTAGCAATTAGTGCAACAGCAGAGATAGCTTTGGTTGTGGGTTATCAAAACTCCATGAAAGCAACAGCGGGGAGGACAAAGGTCAGAGCTGCCATGGAGGGAAAACCGTGTCCTTATAATGAGGTTTGACATGTGAAAAATATCTATTATGCTCCATGTGGGAGGAAGACAAATGGGACAAAAATAATTTTCTATGGAGCTTTGCTTGGTGCATTTTAAATATTATGAACACTAGTCTTAAAATAAGAAATAAATCTAATAACTATTTAGTTGTTGTTTTTTTAACCTCTCCTTAGCAGCAGTAGCAGATGAGTTTTGCTGACAATATGACAAAATCTGAGAGCTAAAATGATGTTATTTAATCACAGAGAAGAATTTACGCGTCAATTCAGTGACTAACATGTAGCTTCAACTGTCCAGAAGCTGTAAACAGAACCGATACTCAAAGCAGGTTAAAAATGCACAAAAAATCGGCTGTTCACAGTTGTTGACCTGAGTCTAAGTCCAGCCTAAGCAGCTCCATGACCTTGGATGTAAAATTCCATGATTTTTCCATGACCTTCCATTACGAAGTCAGAGCACTTCCCTGGTCTGAAACATTTATTTCCTCTGAGTTTCCAAATGTTCGACTCTGGAAGGTTGCACAGAGAATATCAGGCTGGTTCCCACTAAAATGTGGCTTCAAGGTGAGAATAAAAACACTACAAATACGACTGTCATCCCAAATGTTGGTGACTGTTTCAGGATATTACCTTCGAGTAAAGAAGTGAAAACAAACATTGGCAGAGAAGAGGTTGGGGGTGATGGGCAACAACAGTTCCTGTCTACATTTGCATCACAAAATTTGATTATGGTAAATTGTGCCAGTTTATGTGATTACAATCATAGTGCATCCTGTTGGCATTAACAGTCTGAGATTTCTGTATTTATTTTAGGATCACACTCACACACATTGAATAAACTCTAATGTTGATGAAATTATTTCAAAACACAAGATTTATTCTATTATCCAAAGATATTTCTATTTTGATACTCGTTTGGCAAACAGCATCAATGTGTGATATAAGTCAGAGATGAAAATGTCAAACAAACATTCTCCACTTCCAGATTCTCAATTGTGAGGATTTGCTGCATTTCTTTATTTTATGTGATTCTTTGGGGGTTATGGGCTATTGGTCAGAGGAAAAAAAGCAATCTGAGAATGTGACCAGGGGGCTTTAAGAAATTATGAGGAGCATTTTCTTATTTGTAGCCCTATAAATATATAACAACATACATAAGGAACCTTCCTGTAAAGTTATTTCTTTTTAACACCCTCACATACTACCCCAAAACTCCTCGTCCACAATATGGCAGAAAATATCAGTGTCACTGGGAACCGTAGGTTGATGAAATACAGAGTAAAGTGGGCTGGACTTACTTTTGGCCCTGTTTCCAGCAGGCGTGGTCAACTGGATGGTAGTTGGGCCTCGACGGATTGTACTCGGTTTGACTCGAGGTTGACTCACTGAGGAAGAACAGAACGAGAAACAAAGCAATTTTAGAGTCTAACTGACTGACGGTGACAGCTGTTGCAGTCCCTGAAACCTACTCAGAGCTCTTTGTAGAGAGAAAGGTATGCACAGCATTATCATAACAAAGAGACATTTTGAGGACATTTTGAAAGCTTCACTGGCTACTTCACACTGGAAGAATCTGAACATCAAAAGTTCATCTCGAAAGAAAAATACCCAGACTAATTAAGAAAGTTCAACTTATTTAATAGAAGAGCATTTCCCAGGTCAGCAATGTTATATGATAATTTATTCTTGCAAAAACACCAATTAGGATGGTTAAAAAGTGAAGTTCTTTACTGCAGTATATGTAAATTATGATACGTTCTTTTCCTCAAACAAGGTGCCACTAGGTAGTCAAAGTAAATACCACTGAATACTGAATAAATCACAGAAGGAGAGGGACTACAGCTGTGAACCTTCTTTTGTACGCAATGTCACTCCTACACTGTCACACACAAGGCAGTGATAAAAAATAAATAGTTAGGGTGATTAAAAATGCATTTCCCCACTTCTTGAGCTAAAAAAAGATTGTGGCTGGAGTAGTTAACATGACCCTAAAATGACAAAGAAGTAGTAATCCACTGCTGCTGTTGCTGCTACTGGTTTATTTACAGTACATGTAATAGAAGCACTGCTTTACGTAACACAGACGCAGACAATGTGAATGTATAGCAATAATAATAAAAATAAGAATAAGGAATGCATACATTGATTTGCTTAGAGCAAAACAGTGCACAAACCTTAATAATTATTTTATTAAAAATAAAAAATGTGTTATTTGCACTTGGATCCAGACGTACATCCAATACAGACAATGACTTAACCATTCTTATTAATTTACATTCAAGTAAGAGCAGAAGAAAGTAAGAGAAAATAGTCAAAAGTGTTGTAAAAGCCTTCCTGAATTCAGATTTCCAAGTTGTTTTTTGGCATAATAACCAAACTTTAGACAAAATGAACAGAAATCAGGGACTAATGGCAGACACTTAACAAATTAAGACTGATTTTAAACCTGTATTGGGTAAGTGGTCCATCTATTTTTAAATCAGGTAAAATTTCTGCTAGGTTGGCAGCAGTTTAATGTTCGGTTTGAGAGGAGGCCGCAGCGCCTAATTGACCGTCTGACTGTTTCATTATTACTGGGGTATAATTTAGCATGCTGAGGCTAAAACTGCAGGTTGGACTGAGACTGAGCTGTGACGAAAATACAATTAACCTCTAAAAAAAAAAAAAAAAGAGAGAATAGAATTTCATTATTTTTTCAGATTGCCTTCCAAAGTAGAATTGCTTCAAGTAAAGCAGCATTTTCTTGTTTTGTCAACATTTTTGTAGATGCGGCCATCTCGCTTGACCTAACTTTGACTGGAACTGTCATTTCCAACAAAATGTGTTAATGTTGACTGGGAGCACCCACACCGTGACCAGCACGTTTTGGGTGAGCTCAGGCAATTTGCAAGATTAATCGGAAAGGCACAGATAAACACAACCTCCCTGGTGGAAGCAATTAATCAAAATAATCAAGTATATATATCAGGTAATCAATAATGAAAATAACTGTCAGT